CTAGGTCTTTTAATACCTTTATTTAGCCTATAATATATCTAATAATAAATATATTTTATATAATACTATAAAGCTATACTTAATAATTAAAGATTATAAGATTAACTTATTATATTAGTTATAATATATTAATATATAGTAGGTCTTTACTTATAATTTTATTATAATAAAAAAAGGAATTTAAACTTAAGATCTCTTTAAAGGTAATATTATTAATTTTTATTAGAGGACTAATTATATAGTAATTAATTACTATAATTAAATAATTAGGGCTAAATTAATTATTATTAATATTAATTATATAATAATATATCTTATAATAAAAGTAAGGGTTTTTAACTTATTATAATATAGCTTTTTAGGGTTAAAGCCTTAGTAGTAATTACTTAAGAAGGTAATAATAAAAAGGGTATTTAGCCTACTAAGGATAGAGGAAATATCTTTTTTATACTTATAAATTAAGTCTATTTATTTAGTTAAATCTTAAGGTTTAAGATAATAACTATATAATCTGCTAAGGCTTAATATTAAAGTTATTATATTTTTTAATATAGTATATAATACCTTATATTATATTATATTAAAAATAAATACCTTATTTTATTATCTTACTTTAATGCCTTTGGCTTTACTTTATATATTATTAAATAGGTATCTTAACATTTAAATAATTCTTTAATTTAATAAGAAGCTTTTTTAAATAGTTAAATATATAATATCTTAATTCTAGCTATTTTAGGCTTAGCTTGAATTTTATATAGGCTTTTTAAAAGTAGGTTTTAAGGTATAGGTTAAGCTAACTTACTTACTTATCTAACTTACTTACTTATTAACTATATTACTTTATAAAAGTAAAAGGAAATAAAATATAATATTTTATTATTATCTTATTATCTTATTATCTTATTAATTCTCTTAAGGTAAAGTTAAAAGTATTAGTTTTAAGTTTAACTTACTAATTAGGGTTAAATATTCCTAAGATAGGTTTATTAATAATAGCTTCCTTAAGTTATTTAAAGGCCTATTATACTTCTTTTATTTACTTAAATTATTTATCTTTTTTAATAATTTTAATAAGTAAGATAATAATTCTAATAGACTTTTTAATAAATTATTAATAATAGTTAATAAATCCTAGTAAGGATTATATTTCCTTTATTAATATTAATAGCTTTTATTTTATTATTATAATAATTATTTATTTATTTATTTTTATCTTATTATATAAGATCTTATATCCTAGGTATATAACCTTAAGTTAATAAAAGTAACTTTTAATAAATTTAATAAGTATATTAGTATTTTATAATACTTTTAAAACTTTATAAATATATTTTATATATTATTTTTTTATTTTAGAGATAAGAATATCATCTAAGTAATAAACCATAAAGAAATTAAGATACTTTTAAAATATATTTATAATTATATATTAAAATATTATATTGTGTTTTTTGGAGCAGTATACAACGCCTTATATTGTATTATGTTTAAAACAAAAACCTTATTTTATTATCTTACTCTAATGCCTTTGGCTTTACTTTACGCGTTGCTAAATGGGTATTTTAACTTTTAAATTAAAATATTATAAATATATTTATTAATTTAAAAGGTATAACTAAGTATTTAAATAATTTATATTGTATTTAAAAGGCTATTTTCTATTTATTATCTTTCTTAATTTAAATAAGGTTATAAGTATATTTAAGATTAAGTATAATAATATATTATTAGTATTAACTTATTAGTATTAGGTTTTAATATAAATATAACTAGGTATTTTACTAAGGATTTTAATAATTTAATGTATCCGTTTTATAATATATTATATCTTTATTTATTAAGTATACTACGCTTATCTTTAAATAAATTATAAATAAAAAAGAACTTTAAGTTCTTTTTATCCTTTAATATAATCTTAATATTATAATATATATATTAAAATAACTTAGTATTTAATTCTTCTTAAAATAACTTCTTATAAATATAATACTTTAATAATATATTTTTAAGTTATTTATTAAATTCCTTTATAATAATTTATTTATTTATTTTATATCTTAGTTTAATTATTTAAATTAGCCTCTAATAGTTATTATTCTTTATTTAATATATTTTTCTCTGCCTTTATAATACTTATATATTTTCTTTTTTAAGTTTATAAGCTAGCCTTAAAAAATATATTTAAGTATTTTTAAAATTTAATATAATTTAAATATTTATTACCTCTTAGTAGGTAAAGCTTTATAAAATAAATAGTATTATAATTAGCTGCCTTAATTATAGCCTAAACCTAGCTATATATAACCTAGCTAAAGGGCCTTACTCTTTAATAAGTATTAATCTTCTTCTTATAATTTACTTTAAAGGCTACTTTATTATTAACCCTTATAAATATTATACTTAAATTATTTACAGCCTTTTAATAATAAGTAATTTAATTTAACTTCCTTAATATATCTTATAATTATAATTATCAATAGTATTATAACTTTATTATTATAATACTTAAAAGAAGCCTATAAGT